AGCTCCACGGGCTGCTGCTGGGCGACGCCAGCTTGGCGGCCCGGAGAGACTTCATCTCGGGCTTCACCGCCCTGCACTGGGCCGCCAAGAGCGGCAACTGCGACATGGTGACAAATATCATCAGAGCAGCTGAGAAGGGGGGGGCCCGCATCAACGTGGACGCCAGGTCACACGGCGGCTACACGGCGCTCCACCTGGCCGCCATACACGGCCAGGAGAAGATCATCACCATGCTAGTCTACAGTTACCACGCCAAGACCGACCTGAGGGACTACAGCGGGAAGAAGCCGCACCAGTACTTAAAGGAAGGGGCCTCCTCTGCAGTCAGGCGCTTGCTGGGGGACCCCAGCCTTCCCCACAACGTGGAGCCCTCCGTGCCCATCAAGAAGACCACAAAGCTTGCAGCTTCAATCTTGAGCTCCACTAGCACTTTCCTCGGGGTCATATCCGATGACATGGCTTTCTACGATCTCACCAAGGGTTTAAGGAAGCCCTCGTCCTTAAACAAGCTCCTGGCTGCCACTACGGGCCCGAGGAAGAAGCCAAAGACCAGAGGGGGCTTCCCTTCGTATTCCTCCCTCTCCGAGGTAATGGAGGAGGAGGAAGAGGAGGTTGTCGTGAAACGCAGACCTGTTTCTGAGCTGTTCTTTGGCCACTAAGCCTCTGCCTTTTCGGGGTCAAAACTGTTTAATAACGTGACTGGCGTCTCGATTTTCTCTCGCAGAAGCAGCTTGGATTTCTTCTCTGCGTGTCTGTCTTTCTGGATGTTTAACTAAATTGGTGATAGGGTCTGGCTCCAAAGGCCACTGGATGAAACCCAGCTCACAGATGCCTGTGGAAAGGGAGCTGCCCAGGGAGCGTTATAAACACTGTATGTACCGTCATGCTGAGGTATCGGTGGAGATCGCAAACTTTATACTTAGTGGTTGAAAAACTAAAACAACCTCTGTGTGTGTAGACAGGTTAAAATGCTTAAGGTACAGCCTTCCTGATCTGTGTTCCTTGGCTGGAGAGCAAAAGTAAGGTAAAGAATGGCATATTCTACACTGTGAACAGCAAGCTGGTAGCTGGCTACTTTAACATGGCTTGTTATATAGCAGGCTTAAATTATTAGAGGAAAGATGCGTAGTTTTCTATGATGTTTCTGATTATTTTGGTAACAGAAGAGGAATATTTCTATTTAAAAAAAAAAAAAAGGTGTACTTAACTTTTTCAAAACAAAGTTTCTCGCTATCAGAAATACTAACATAACAATCTCAATTGTTGCCTAAAGCATTTTATTAGACGAACAGGCTTAAAAAGTAAAAAAAAATCCCAACCCTCAGCACTCAAGTCACCGTGACCTGTCTACCTCAGTTTAAAAGCTAGGTTAGCATTTTAAATTTTGTTTCTCTTCCTGAAAGGCTTCTTAACCAGGTGGTACTAACCACGTCTTGATGATACTGTGAACATTTAAACTTGACTATAGTTCAATCACTTAATCTGAATAAAAACCTTGTTGATATTTGACAGTGAAAAACAGAACTGAAAAACTGTGAATCAGATCCTGCAGAGTTTCTGAGTAGCCAACTGGAAACAAAGCTAGGCTCCTATGTCCAATTCTTTTTATTTAAAACTTGGCCTTTGATTTTGACCTATTTACAATAAATAAATATAAAAATTGGGCGTTATGTTGGGTGTTTCATGATAGAATGTCTGCATGACCTCTTAAAGCAATGTTTATCTCGACAGCATGAAAAATTGACCTAAAACTAACTCTTCTTCTTCTTTTATATTATAAACATAATTGTTCTATATATAGAACTACACATAGCTCCAAAAAGCATGCTAACTGCAGGTTAAGTAATACACTCGCAGTGAGATTATTATTTTTTTAATTACTATTTGGTTAAAGTAATGTGAAGAGGCGGAGCTAAGAACAGAAACTGTCCGACTCCTGGGGCCAGTCTGCTAAACCATCACATTTTCTCTAAAAACATAACTAAAAAACCTGTATAATTCAGAGGTGACGAAGGTGATGGCAATACTGCGCTTGCTCTGCTTTTCAGCCCCATCAGGTGTTTCAGTTTCTGTAAAACAAAACCACTTGTTTGCATGCTTTGCCTTTCTTTCCAAGTCAGTGACTTCAGGAATGTTTTTTTTCAGCCTTGAATTAAGCCTAGTACTTCTAATTGGCTGTAATTGGCTTCTCCCAAACGCAAGGAATGCTGCAGGTGGAGGCACTGTGCCCTCTTTTACTTTAAAACATCCTTCCTGAAGTCCCTGGAGTTGGTGACATTTGTTGCGAGCGTAATCGGCGACTGCAGAGTGGTCTCTGATCCACCTGCTCTCGGAAGTGACTGGATTATTCTGCACCAGTCTGCTTCCGTATTGAACTAATTAAGTTGTTAAGCAAACGTTAATGATCAAGCACCTCATGACTTCTATATCTGGAGTAGGGTTTAAAAAAAAATAAAAACCTATTTGTTCCATAGCTGTTGGTGTGACCATTGACATTGTGTCATTTAAAACCTTGATTCATGCTGCACTGTGTCAGCTCGCAGAGTTCCAGGAAAAAAACCCCCTGTCGCTCTGTTTTAAAAAGTCTTTCCAAGTTTACTGACGTTAAACACTTTTCTTTCTGTATTTCCTGAAACCACAGAAGCATGCGCGTGCGTTCGTGTGGCGTCTGAGGCACTGGCAGGACTGACGCTGCCTGGTAAAAGCGTTCCGTTTCTGTGCGAATTGGAAACGCTCTCCAGTTTGACTCCATCTTATTGGGAAGTTTGTTCTTTAGTTATGGATATATGCTTGATACCTGTTCAAGTCACATAGCCAATTTTTTAGTCCTAATTCTGAGTAAAACCTGCTTAAGTTGGAGGCAAGGTTGAGGGTTGGAGTGTTTTCTGTTTAAAAAAAAAAAAACCCAACAACCTACCAACCTGTAAAGCGTGGTTATGACTTCACCATAAGGAAGGCAGGGAGAAGGTTTCATTGCTCCTGTATTGTTTTGCCAAAGGAAAAGCAAGAAGTCACGGCTGAGATAAGACTTCGTTGCAACATGTATCATCAAGGAAATTCTGCACTACTCCTTCCTCGGAGGCATCACAGCAATGAGCTAGTGCGGTAGAAAAGTGCCCAGCAAGAACAAGAGAGCTCTCGTCCTTACAGCATTCCCCAGGGAGGTGCTCGGAGGCTTGGTAGGAAGGTTGCAACACCAAGGAGGGGAGCTCGCGAGGTCGGGTGCTGTGGGTGGGATGGGCCAGGCTCTGCCAACAGAAGTTTGTGCGGTGACTCAGCTCATTCCTCCTCCTTGTTGAGCAGATTAAGGAAAAGATAGTATTTAGGCAGGCTGCGATTAGCATAGCCAGTGCTGTAGGACTTTAGGTGCAAACAAATACTGAGAGGTATTGAGAATGCACTGCTGTAATCTTACAAGGATATATATTGCCTTTAGTTTGAAGTAAAACCAGTCCGTCGGCCTTTCTGGGTCTTGGTTTCCTATGTTGCCATTTACACTCTGGAAGGGACACTGCAGGACAATCATGGGAGTGTTTTCTTGGCAGAAACTAAGGCTAGGGCTGTTTTATGAATCCCTCAGCTTGATTGATTCTCCTTAATTTCCCTGTGTCAAGCCCAAATCTGGCTGAACGCGGTAGGATTTTCACGTGAATGAGTAAGAGCTGTGAAGTTTAGCCAGGACGCTTTCTTTCACAAGCAGCAGAGCCGAGAAGAGGACTGCAGCTCACAGGAAGAAGGACTGCAGCTCCCGTCAGTGCGCTGGCCCGGGGCAGAGGCTGTGCGGCAGCACGCGCGCCACGGGCTGGGCAAACAGCCTTCTGAACCTCTGGCCCAGCTGGGAGCTGCCTTCCGCACCATCAAAGGGGATGGCAGGAGAGGATAAAAACAAAAAACTCCATCCCCTCTGGGCTCCGCTCCTGCCCTGTGGAGATCGCTTACGTGGTGGGGGAAGGCTGCCAGCTGCAGCAGGCTGGAGATGGAAGGTGCGGATAAGGCACAGGAGCGGGATCAGGGAGCTCGGGGTTGTATTTTGCCATGGTTACGGGTCTGCCTGCTTGCCCCGTCTCAGTTTTCCTGCTGTAAAATGGAGATAATCACCTTGGTCGCTTCTTTGAAGCACACAGTACTGATATTCCAAATCAAAATCAAGATAATTATTTTAGATCTGTAGGCAGCACAAGCAGCATCATCCACAGCCTGTGAAGGCTGCGCATTCAGTGGAGCGCCTACGCAAATAAAACTGGCTCGGATTTTAGTTTAGCAGCATCAGAGATCAGCAAAGCTAATGTTTGACCCTGGCTCAGTCCGCCTTTCTAAAGATAACTCGGTTCGTCCATTCCTCAGCACGTTTTGTTCTGAGGAATAATATCAGCTCAAAAACCTGCACTGAAGAGGTTTGCAAACAAGCTTCAAGCCGCGTTTCTATACAAAGGGACAGACTTTGTCCTCCTGGATGCGGCTGTTTGAGCAGCATGAGGCAGTGCAGTCATGGTCAGGCTCAAACAGATTTTTGGCCGCCTCCATTCCCTTGTGAGTGCCGCGTAGAAACGCCTGTTCTACAAAAGCCCCAGGAAACGCCGCTCCTGCACTGCAAAGGAGTCTTTATGAGATTTCGGCTCAAGGTTCAGCGGAAGAGTTGCTGAATAACTCCAACAGACCCAACAGGAGTTGCAACCACCAGCTGAAGGTAGAGGAGGCCTTTCGAGACAGTCCCCTAATTCCCCATTGCTCGTCCCTTCTCCTCCCGCTCTGCGCGTTTCCACCATGATCTACATTCCTTGGACGCATTTGCTTCCTGATTTGCATGTTAATCTGAGTAAAATGGCAACGCGGCAGTTTTTGCTCTTCCCAGTGATTTGTACTGATGTGGGACCCCTCAAATTAAGACGTCGTTAACAGGGACTTGGCCAGCACGTAGCATGGGCACGAACAGCATGGCGTTTGTTTGTTTGTTTGTTTCAGGGGGAGAACAGGGACAGAGCAGGACGACACAGATCAACAGCTCTGCATCATAATGAGGAACGTTCATTTTCTACTCCAGTTCCAAAGTTTATTTCACTAATTTGTAAGACAAAGCTAGTCATTAAGCACAGCCCTTACACTGCGTGTGCAACCCCGAGCCGAACCATCACCAACTGCTGGTCGTTGAACGACGGTGGCTGGTCACCTGCTGGCCCTTTTGGAGTGAATTGCTGGAAAAGCCCCATCAGGAGACACTTTCTAATGTGTCTGCAGCTGCCTGCAGTAAGAGAGTGGCTTTGCCAGATAACCTAGACTAGTTCAAAAAAAGCATTTAGAGATAGATAAACTGCTCTCACCAGACTCATTCCACTGATCATCACGGTGACACCTGCAAAGATTTCGAATACAGACCTGCTGAAGAAGCACGCAGCGCAGCCCCCATCGGAAGCAGTCTGGTCCTACTCGCTGCCCCTGAAAAGGACATTAACAATAAAAAAAAAAAACAAAAAGAAACAAGCCAATTGCATCGCAAAGCATTTTTGGGTAAATATGTATCAACAAATGCTCCTGGTAGAAACGCAGATTATACAAGGGAAAGGCTGTTTCTCTGTGTAGAACTTGCACCATTCCTCAAGTGGAATAAATCATACCAGCAAATAAGATTTTCTGGCCGATCTGAGTGTATCTACCCAGCACG